TTTCAATTATTACATATCATTTATAATAATAATAATAATAATAATAATAATAATAATTTATTTATACCCCGCCCCTCTGAGCACAATCGGGGTGGCTAACAACAGTTAAAAATACATAAATTATAGATTCAAAGACCAATACCCACCCACCCCTTAAAAGCGTATTAAACTAGACACTATTTAAAACAAACTTGGGTTAAACATAAAATTAATTAAAACCACCAAATTATTTATTTAATTGCTTATTTATACTTTTAAAATAATTTATTTATTTGCTTTTTTAAAAAAACCAAACAAACCCCAAACCCTTGTGTTATCTATTGTTTTAGCTATATATTATTTTAATCTTAGGTTGTGAGCTGCCTTGCATCCCATACTGGAAGAAAGGTGGGATGTAAATGAAATAAATAAATAAGTCAATAAAGTTTTTTTTTGGGGGGGGGTTAAATTGGAAATGTGTACCTTCTTCATGATTTGTCAATCTGCATTTGACTCAGCATTTAAACAAGCAATAATTGAAATGTGTATTTAGAAGATGTTGGAGGGTAATTTCTATAGCTAGTGGTGATGATCATTAGCATTTGTAACACTGAATAAATTGTTTTTTTTAAGGGTTTAATCAATTAACGTAGTAACTGGTTTTAGATCCTAGTGGGTGAAAGACCCATGTTTATAACAAGGTGAAAACAAGAAACAACTAAAAAAGCCTGATGCTACGAAAGGTAAAAAAACCAATTATATCAGCTATCATGCAAAACACCCATAATTTAAAAGCGTATGACATTATTTTAAAAGCAATGAAGATCCAAATTGTTATCTCCAATTACTGTGGCGTAAATAATAATAATAATAATAATAATAATAATAATAATAATAATAATAATAATAATATACTTATAGCCTGCCTCTTCCTGAAGGATCAAGGCAGATAACACTCATAAAATATCACAGTGACATGACACATAATTCCCTAACCTCTGATTAAAACAGAAAGCATCATAAAATGCAGTCAATTTACTAAAATCGGTCTAAAATTAACCCTCATTAAAATGAGGCAGTGTGGGATGAGTAGCGCAACCATGGTTATGGGACAATGGGATAATGCTGGCCTGAATAACTCTCATTCATTCAGTGGGTTTGCTTTAGGTGGAACTAGTATTTGGATTTCATTCTCGATGGGAAGGACGTGAGCCTAAAGGCTGTGGCCTTCCAAGAACATCCGGAAGGCCAGTCTTGGAAAAGAGGATGCTGGACTTTGGAAGACCTTTGCCTGATCCAGCCTGGATCATTGTGTCTTCTTAAATCCAGAATAGGATTAACACACAATAAAAAGAAAGGCCACACAGACAGAGAGAGGGATCCAAGCACAGCTAGGCAAACAGGTGATCCCACTCCCAGTGTTACCTCTATACTCCGGTAATAGCGCTCGGGGATTTCGTCGAAAGCGATGTCCAGGAATGTCACCTCGTGGTCTCCCAAGATTTCTTCACTGTGGAAGATCTGGGGAGGCAAGAGGTGGAGAAAGAAAAATGGATCTATCAGGCCAGCAGAGATGACAGAGGTGCAAAACACAGTGCAGAAATCATCCAGTTTGAGACCGCTTGAAGTGTCCTGGCTCAAGGCTAGGGAAGGCAGGGAACTGGCGTTTCGTGAGACATTGAGCCTTCTCTGTCAGAGAGCTCTGGTGCCACAATAAACTACAGTTCCCAGGATTCCCTAGCACTGAGCCCAGGCACTTCAAGCGGTCTCAAACTGGATGATTTCTGCAGTGGGTTTTGGACCAGAGCATGCTGCTTTCTGGAGGCAGTGAACTTGATCTGGGATGTTGCAAGGAGAGAAAAGGCGCTCCCTGGATGATTTCAGCCTGGCCAGAAGCTACCCAGGAAAGCCGCCACAGATACATCTATGGGGCGAGGAATGAGCCATTGCTCCCCAAATAAGCATTCTGCTCCCTCTGCGAATTCTCCTTCAAGCACACCTTTCGAGCATTGCAGACACTGAGACCCCAGAAACTGTCCACACCTAAAGCTCTGCTGTTTTTGCATGCCCCTGGTCATTGTGTCAGACCCTTTTCTTGTCGCTGTGCGCCTTCAAGTTGCTTCCAACTCATGGTGTCTCTAAAGCGAACCGATCACATTTTATTTTAGGGCACACTTAGTTTAGAAAGGGTTTGCCATTGCCTTCCCCTGAGGCTGAGAGAGTGTGACTTGCCCAAGGCCACCCAGTGGGTTTCCATAGCTGAATGGGGATTCAAACCCTGGCCTGCTGAGTGTAGTCCAGCACTCAAACCACTACACCACATTGTAGGTATAGTAGATATTCATAACCTACTATAATCACAAAAACCTACTTCACGGTGGTATACTTACTGCAATATAATTGGAGACATTGATGTGAAATTGATAGGTATGATTGTAATTTCATAGACTGTTTGACCGTGTCTTTTGCAGCTGCATATATGCACACCAGGGTTCGATTCCCAGCTCGACCATAAAACCCAGTAGGTGACCTTGGGCAGGTCACGCATTCTCAGCCTCAGGGGAAGGCAACAGCAAACCTCCTCTGAAGGAACCTTGCCCAAAAAACCCCATGCTAGGGTTGTCGCAAGTCGGAAACGACTTGAAGGCACTCCATAACAACAACTACTTTGCATGAAATCAGTAGTGTTGCAGATGCATTTTTTGCTTTTGAGGAATTGGTGATCAGTTCACACCTGTCCTATTGCTTTGGTTCTATATTTGATAGATTACAGGTGCTTTCTGAGTTTTAGTGTTTTCAGCCCATCAGAATAGTTTATAGTGGGCCGCATTAGTGAATGGTCCTGAGTCTGCATGGCAGCTTCATTAGTCTGAACCAAAGCTACTGACAGGTCTGTTTTAATACTGCTAAGACTGAAAATTCAAGGCAAGAAGAGGTATCCTCCTTATCTCCCATTGTGTTCTATGCAATAGAGGACACTGTTTTGAACACAAGCATTGCCGCAAAGCCCGTTTCGCTTCCACCTCACAACCTGGAAAAATGACTTTTTTTGGGGGGGAGGATGGACTAAAACTCTCAAAATCCACCAATTTGTTGGTGGGGTATGCTACAAGTTATAATCCAGAACTGAACTTTTCTGAGCTCTGGCTTCTACTACGTTGTGCATTAAGGAATACTCACATTTGAGCTATCTCCGCAGTTATCCTCATACTTGGTCTCTATGTAGATAGAAAATTTTGGCAGAAAGGAGCACTACAAAGGATGAGATTTACGGAGACTGTGAGAATGTGCACGGATACATATAGGCATCATCATCATCATCATCATCATTTATTACAACCAACAGATCCAATAAGAGATTCATGCACAAAATTAAAAAACAACATATAGGCATCTAGCCACAGTTTGTGATCAGTTTATGAATATAAACCTATGATCATGAATATAAACCTAACATAAATATGACATAACATAAAAGATACCATAAATAAAACAAAGCAAACAAGCAAGCAAAGAAAAGACAAAGAAAAACATATAATAAAGAGTTTCTTTCATTCTTTTCATCTAATACCTTTCCATCTCTCCTTCCTAAGCTATCTATGCTTGGTGTTTATACATATTGTTTGTACTCTTCCTTACTTACTTAAATATGAATGCTTTTTTATTCTATCTTAAATATTTAGATCAATCTGAATTCCTGATAGATATACAACCGTTTCTCTTATTTAATCCTGAAAACCATTAATTGACATTTCTCCCCACGTGTTACTCAGAGATTTCGTTACCAGTTCTCAGCTATTTATACATTTTCCTAAGCTTTCATATTTCATGAGACCTGTCAGTTCATCGAATTCAGCCATTTCTAGTAATTTTAATGAGCGTTTTGTATCGAAGGGACTGATCTCTCCTTCCATTTCTGAGCTATTAAGCTTCCGGCTGCCAATGTCATCTAATGTAATATCCTAGCATTTTTCTTTTCTATGTCTTCAAGTTTTATTTCCCAAGCCCTGACTCCGAAGCAAATTCCAACATGTCCAATGGGCATTACTCATAGATCAATGTGCATAGGATGGGGATAAGGCATAGGATGGGGATAAAGCACCCTGGATGGCGTCAAATTTAGACTATGTTGCAATACAAGTTAAGGGGCCACCAAACTCCATCGCTTTGGTCTCTTCCAAGGCTATGGTTCCATGATCCTCCATCCCTTCTAGTTCGTGTGGCATCTCTGCCGCAGGATGTTCCTGGCACGACCGGTCCCACTGGAGACAGAGAAGAGCCCTGAATGCACAGACGCATTCACTTGGCACTTACCGTATACTCTGAGGCGACAGCGAGATAATTCCAGGAATCCACAGGACAGCAAAGGAGAGAGACAGAGAGAGAATCAGTGATGAGGCTCGGGAGGGACGGCACTTTTTACAGTCACTATTATAGATATAACTGCATTTCCCTTGATAGCGTAAGCTCCCTGCTGGCAGCCCAGGCAGAAAGCAAACTGGCAAGGGAGCCCCGCTGTCAACGTCTGTTTTTGTTGGAAAGGATGCAAAGGATAGTCAGGTAACCCTGTGCCCAAAGGAAAAAGTGTGATGATGCACCCTGCTTTAGTCAGAGCTTTACATAGCCTGGAAATGTTAGCAGAGGTTAAGTCTCCCTTATCCGGAATGCCTCCAAAATCCTCCAAAACTTTTCTCATGGGAGGCTGAGATAGTGACACCTTTGCTCGGCGATGGTTCAGTGTACGCAATCTTTGTTTCATGCACACAATTATTTGAAATGTTGTATAAAATTACCTTCAGGCTATGTGTATAAGCTGTATGTGTATGAAACGTAAATGAATTTTGAGTTTAGACTTGGGTTCCATCGCCAAGATATCATCATTAAGTCATTTCTGACTTACGGTAACCCTAAGGCAAACCTATCATGGGACTTTCCTGGCAACTTGCTTCAGAGAGGGGTTGCCATGGCCATGCTCTGAGGCTGAGAGAGTGTGACTTGTCCAAGATCACCCAGTGAGTATACATGGCCAAGCTGGGATTCGAACCCTGATCTCCAGAGTCATAGTCCAATGCTGAAACCACTATGCCATGCTATACAAATACAGGCATTCCAAAATCCAAAAAAAGAAATCCAAAATCCAAACCACTTTTGGTTCCAAGCATTTCAGATAAGTGAGACTCAACCTTTATGAGGACTAACACATTAATGCATTGATGTTAAAGGATAAAAACAATTGGCTAACATTAACTGGTGAAGACAAATCCAGAAATTGAATTCACTGATTTATTAATCAAATGGTTTCATTTCAAAACAAAATGACTGTATCTAATATTACAAAAACAGCTTGTGTCAAGTGAAGAGTAAATGGGAACCGTGACTCAAAAATAACATTATTGGCATCCGGCAATTAAAATAATTTTTAAAATAGTTGTTGAAGATTTTCAACAAATTAAGCAGAATGGATTGATTATAAGGGATTATTTCCCAAAACTTGCTGCTTTACAATCCTGAGGGAAACACTGAAATGATTGCAGAGTTATTCAATATTAGAATCCCAGCTTTTAACCTTTAGGAGCAAAAATCTGAATTTTTTTAAAAGCAAGGCAAATGCAGTCATTTTTGGCAACTGCTTCCTCCTCATGTCTTGACTTCAACATATGAGGAGATAACCAGATCGATAAAGTTTAACTGCTGTTCTTTGGATAATTCACTCCGACTCAAAAGGGGTAGAAAGTTTCAAAAGCAGGTACATTGTGTGCTCCAGGAGAGCTTTAAATACTTCATTTCTGTTAATTGGATCCAATGGGAATTCCAGGCAAAACAACGACAACAGGAAGCAAAGTTTGTTAAACCCGCTACAGAGTTTTTATTCCCCCATTTTTATTAACATACAACAAGTTACATTTACAACTCTTGGTAAGAAAAGAAACTCAGGACAGGATAAAAACCAAGACTAGAGATTATATATA